AAAAGAAAAGAAAAGAAAAGAAAAGAAAAGAAAAGAAAAGAAAAGAAAAGAAAAGAGGTATCTGGAAGAGGTTATTATGATAAATGCCCTGAGTGTCCTTCTGGAAAGAAAACATGATTGGTCATATACTTCTCCCCACCTGATTAAGGAAAATCTCAAGTTGTTTGAAGAGGCAGTTTTGTGTTAGCGCTAAGCTAAGAGGAAACTATTTCACGCAATGTAATGAACAGTACTTTCAGCCAAGATTTTGCAAAGAATACGAAAATGCTCAAATAGATAATTTATTATAATCATTACAACTAACATGTATGAAATGCTCAAGGATGGGCTGGCCGTTAGCTCAGTTGGTTGGAGTCTGGTGTTATAACACTGAGGTCACAGTTTCGGATCCATGCACTGGCCAGCCACCAAAAAAATAAAAGAAATGCTCAAGGACTATGCCTAGAACATTAGATGAATTAACTCATTTGATCTTTATACTTTATTTTTTTAATTTTTTTTTTTTGTCCTTTATGAGACCGGCCGCCACCGCGCTCAGCCAGTGAGCGCTGTGAGCACACCGGTCATCCCTATATAGGGTCCGAACCCGCAGCGGGAGTGCTGCTGCGCTCCCAGTGCCGCACTCTCCCCAGTGCGCCACGGGCTTGGCCCTCATTTGATCTTTATAATAACCTAGGGGACGAGTAACTGTTTTTGTTTTGTTTTAAATTTTTTTTTCCGTATAGCCAATTGATTCTTACTGAAAGCTTTCCTTGATTTGATTTTTTTTATTGAGGTGAAATTCACCATTTTAAAGTGAACAATTCAGTACAATTTGTACATTCATAACGTTGTGCAACCACCACCACTAGTTCCAAAACATTTTTATCACCTCGAGAGAAAACTTCTACCCATTAAATAGTTGCTTATTCCTTCCTCTCCCCCAAGCCCTGGCGACCACCAATCTATGTTGCATCCCTAGAGATTTACCTATTCTGGATATTAATAAAATAGAATCAGGCAATATGTGACCTTTTTGTCTGGCTTCTTCACTTAGTGTAATGTTTCAGAGTTTATCCACGTTGTAGCATGTCAGTACTTCGTTCCTATTTATGGTTGACTAATGTTCTACTGTATGTATATACAACAATTTGTTTATCCCTTCATCAGTTGATGTACATTTGGACTATTTCCATCTTTTGACAGTTGTAAATTGTGCTGCTATAGGCATGTATGTATGTGTATTTGTTGTACTGTTTTTCAACTCTTTCAGGTATATACCTAGGGGTGGAATTGCTGGGTCATGTGACAATTCTATGTTTAACTTTTTGAGGAACTGCCAAACTCTTTTCGACGGTAGCTGAGCCATTTTACGTTCCTTTATACATTTTACAATGTATGAGGTTTTCATTAATTTGAGTTTTCCTAAACTCGTATAACTATATCCTGTCTATATCATTATTTGGCAAAACGAAGCTACCAGTAAGTACTTGATTGCTGTCCACTTCAGGAAAGTTGCTCATATTGTTGATGAACAAGTGCTATTTTTTTCCTTAGACTTGCTCATTTTTCTGGACCGATATATAATACCTTTTTTTTTCTGAGGGGATTTGGCATACGTTCTCTGTT